GAGGGAAAGACAGAATAACCCTATCAGAGAATTGTCACTCTCTTTTGGTTACAGGATAGGGACAGTGAAAAATTTCAAGGCTACTAGAGACTTAAGAAAATCCAGTCCTGTCTGGAGGTTTCCCATCGAGGCAAGGACATAACCAACACCCTAGCCCAGTGGTCAGCAAACTCATTAGTCAACAGAGCCAAATATCAACAGTACAAAGATTGAAATTTATTTTGAGAGCCAAATTTGTTAAACTTAAACTATATAGGTAGGTACATTGTTATTAACTTAATTAGGGTGCTCCTAAGCTGGCCTTTGCTAAAAAAGTCCTCAATCTGATTGAGGTACGTTCGCTGAGGTCGACCCCTTCCAACTCTCCCATCTACACTTGTCTTGTATACTTGTTTCAGATAGACGAGTGTGGATGGGAGAGTTGGAAGGGGGTCGAACTCAGTGAACGTACCTCAAAACAATGTGCCTCCCCCGCGCTGCATCTCCTGTCACCCGACCAACTGACACCCCCCCCACTTCTTCTAATGCCACTTCTTCAAAATAGACTCGCCCAGGCTGAAAACCAACTTCTGCGCATGGGCCACGGAGTTTCAATCGCACTGTACGTGCGTGCCCGCACATGGTATTTTGTGGAAGAGCCACACTCAAGGGGTCAAAGAGCCGCATGTGGCTCGCGAGCTGTGGTTTGCCGACCACTGCCCTAGCCGGTGACTTATAAGAGACTCAACACAGGTATTTTTGTACTTCTTCCAATTGAAAGCTCCATGGGGTGCCTGGCCAGCATGGCTCAGTGATTGAGCATCTACCTATGAACCAGGAGGTCAGGGTTTGATTCCCGGACAGGGCACATGCTGGGTTGTGGGCTCAATCCCCTGTAGGGGGTGTGCAGGAGGCAGCCGATCTCTCATGGATGTTTCTCTCTCCCCCTTCCTCTCTCTGAAATCAGTAACTAACAAAAAAAAGTGAAGGATAAAAATGTAAGTATGGTAATAAATTATCCCCACACAACCTATATTTTTAAGTAATTTATTTCAATAGAAATATTTCAGAAAACTGTACTTAAATTCATTTTCAAGTTAGCATATGCAAACACACCGAAGATCTCACACTCACATTTGCATATTGAACAGAAACAAAAAGTGAGGGAGGAACCGAGCTGCACATCACTCAAGGAGATCATAGTGCAGCCGAGTGCTTCGTCATGAGTACTCAAGCTCACTGGGGCAAAGGGTAAAAATGGCTTGTGTTTTCCTGCATATAATCATCACAGGGTACTTATCCCCACAGATGTTTACCTCCTATAGAGAACACTGTGGATGGGTCCCCCCACCACTCACCCACACTTCAGTAGCCTGTACAACAATGAATTTGTCAACCAAAGTGTAGAAACTATTGAGAGCCTGGTGACTTCTTATCGGCTATGCTGTCAGACCTAAGTCAATAGTTACTGGACTATCTTTGTGAATAGATCTAATACACAATATCTTCAGGGGAAACTTAGTATTTCTGACATAGTATCTAAAGCATGGCTAATATTTATGAAATTTTCTATTTAAAAAACCAGTTTAATCTCAAAGCACTCTAATTATGTATTCTTCGAATCTCATCACTACTTTGCAGCCCAAATGACCAGATCAAAATTTAAATTCTGCTAATTACTCACCCTCAAGGACCAGGGAGTTAACCCTTCATGTGGCTTTAAAGGCCATGTCTACTTGCCTACTTTGGAACAGACGAGCCCGTTCATATTTGTGAAAATAGCATCTTGACTCAGTTGAACAACAGTAGTTCCAGATCTTGTAATAATCATAGAGGAGCAAAGTGTTTCCAAGCTTTGCTTTTCCTGGGAAATTTCCTTTCATCTCTTAACTTCCCTTTAATTTATATACTGGAGTTGTTTTCACTTTCCCATCATGATGTTTTCAAGTGAACAATAACTGGTAGGGTAAGTGGCTGCTTGTTTGTTCTGAGTCTTATTTAAATATAAGAATGAACCAAACGAAATTTCATTTCCGACCAAAAGGATTCTCATCACAAGACTTCACTAGCTTTCATAAAACCTGAACACATCTTTCTGGCTGCATCATATTCTTTTAGAGATTTCCTGAAAGGCCTTATAATTAAGTATATGCTCATAGCAACTACAACAACAACCAAAAACATCAACACAAAATAAACATAAACTCCGTGACGGGTAAGAGTGCTCATCCAAAGAGCGACTTGGGTGGATCTATTTTTAATCTCCTGCCTGGAAGGAGAGGAGCAGGAAGGAAGCTTGTCTAAAAAGACTCAAAACCAAGGAGGGCTGCAACAATTACTTAGGAATATCTATATAGACTTTCTTAGACTGGATGTGAGACAGAGTGAGCTGGTGGAGAGAGGGGTAGGTAGCACTCCTGAAATAAAGGAGTAAGAGGGGTAGATAGCACTCCTGAAATAAAGGAGTAAGAGGGCCCATGATTACTGTCATACTCCATGCCTATAATTGGTCTTCAAATTGATAAGGCACTGACCAAATTTTCACCACACTATGACTTGAGATACCGTGTAATGAAACTGCTCTCAATAAGCTTAAGAGTTTGAACACAGAGATCTCTTTCATTAGAATTTTCTAAGTAGAAAAAAAAAGTCACTTTAGACACAAGCCATTTTTTGGGGGGCAAAAGCAAAAAAATACTTGAACCATTTTGAAAAGGCTGACTTCACATGAAAAACAATTATCATCAATGTGATTAAATAACAGTGTTCATATCTGAAAGCTTAGAAAAAATCAGAATACCACTCAGGCTATAAAATCTTTGAAAGAAAAAACTACAAAAGGAGAGAGAAAATAAAAGCAAACCCCAGAAGATCACGAAATCAGGCAAACCTCACCATCTGCTCAGGCAGCAGCAGTGCTAACCCTGTTCCACCGAGACACGGGCGAGTGGATCTTCATTTCCAAAAAGGGATCCAATTATTTCGAAAGCCTTTGAAGCAGAGGATTTCTGTTATGAAAGATTATCTTCTGCTGAGCAACACTGGTACCCCTTGTTTGCAGAAGATAACATGGCAGTTTAAAAACTGGTTGTGAAGGAATGTGCCTCAAAAAAACAGGAAGCATGTCAACAGTGGATCTCTTTCTTTACAAAAGTAGATGGATTAAATGTTTTGCTTCCCAGAATTAATATGATGCCTTACAGTTTTGTTTTCAGTAGCAAAGACATACAGCTTACAGATTTAACCTAAAAAATGGGGGGTGGTTTGGGGTGGGGAGAAAAAAGACCTCTGCTCAAGTAATTTGCCAGGTAAATTTTAGTAATTCCAACAGATCAACAGATCAGCCTGCCCATAGAGGGCCCCTGTTTCAACTAATCTACAGAGTGTGTACGCTATACACTGTAAACATTTTCTCCTTCCGTAACAATAGTGCTCCTTGGTCTCTTTTATAAACCTTCTAGAAGAGGAATAAAGCTACTTATAAAAACTTTGCAGCTATAAACACTGTAACTCTTGGTGCACAGAAAGAATGAATACCAGAACAGTCCACACAGAAGGTAGTGCAATAGTCTATGGCATTTCCACACAGGAAAAACATTTGTCATCGAAGCACAGGCCTAGGAGAAAAAACATTCGAACTCAAACTGTTTGAATCCCTTTTTGTAATGTTTACAAAAATGACATTTACATAGTGAAGAAAATGAAATAGGAAGGTGTGTTTGATCAATTCTCTTTCAATTCTTACATTTTGGAGATTACAGTAAAAAAATAACTGTGAAAAAATAAGCAGAGCTCAAACACACGGGGGCATGAAACCAAAAATAGTGCTCATTATGCAGTTATTTTTATAGTTATATTTTAAAAACTGGTATGTTACTTCTATGTGAAAAATAAGCTTCCGTTCAAATAAACTGTTACATGCGATGTGTCTGAATTGTATTCTGGCCAATACTATATTCTACTATCCTGGGCCATATGATATGCCAACCATTATGCGTATCATAAACTAGCTTAAATTTAAATTATTGTTTCTGTGAGCTCTTCTTGGCTTGGAGAGAAACCGATGAACTTAATATTGATGGAAATTTCAAGCTTCTGGGTCACGAATTTACTAATTTATAAAGGGCAGGCCTAATAAGAGGGAAATAAATTAATCATCCCACTAATAAACTACCTAAATATTTAACATATTTTGGAGACATATTTTCTTTGCGTGAATTATTATCAGGTATCATTTGGTGAATTGCAGATAAAACATTCACCTACACTAGTTTAATCCACTGGTTTCCATTAGCTTCAAATGCTACAATAACCTCAAAAAGCAATGACTAATCTTTTGAAAGGACAAATTTGAAGACAAAAAAACAATGGCAACTTCTATGCACAGTTATGTTAAGAGTTTCAGGCAAAAGGACTGTTTACCAAATTGAACACTATTCTTCGTCTGTGCAGGCATTCATTCATGTTTAGAGCTGAAAACACATCTTCCAGTTTAGCTCCCTCTTTGGCAAAAAAAACATCAGGCTCTGACTTCCTGGTGCCTAACTCCACAGACGTGGTTCCCCTATGACATATCTACTGTAGCTTATTTATGACAAACAAAACAAAGCAATAATAAAAAAAAATCCACAGGGTTCTCATCCATAGTATGTTTTAAAAAGCAAGTACACTATTAAAAACATTTCTTTCTGAAGAGAAATAAACAAAATAAGAGATTTTAAAAAATGCAAAATAAAAGTCAGATGTGCAAGGTCTACACAGTAATACTGCTGGCTCCGCAGGAGGTGTCCCTCCATGTACCCAACGTGGGTCAAGCTCGGGAGGTCGTTAATTTAAACATCACCCAGCACAGGCAACACTGTCCTCTTCAGCCTGTGTCACTTTCCACAAAACCAGAAACGACGGCCTTTCTAACTCTGCCATAAGAGAAAAATATCTGCACTCTTAATATCCCTTGGAAACAGAGCTAAATGGAAAAATGCACGGCTCAGAAAAAGCTCTTCTGCTTCCTTTTGGATAGATTTTTTTTTTTAGCTAATTAGTCTGTGGGCAATATTTTCTATTGATGTTTCATAGATTCAAGAATGAAATACTTATGACAAAAAAGTACAATGTTTTCTAAGAATACAAATGCGAACAATTTTATGTAAGGCCCAAAGTAACAGAGCCTGGTAGGAGGTATCAGACAGAAGACGTTCTTACTCTGGGCCAGTGCTAAAACCTATGATGCCTCATGAGTTTATAACATCCAACATAGCCTTTGTTCAAATGCCATTTTTTGTTAAAACTCTAAGGTATCTTATCTTCAATCTTATTATTTTTTTAGTGATTCAACATTTTGGATATTAAATGCATTACTGCATAGAAGAGCCCTCATAAAACTACTTGGTCAACTACTGATTTCATAGCAAGTTTCCAGGAAAATGTTTTGCAATAAAGAAAAGTTGTATAAGGAGAATTTTGATACTTTAAATTCTCAGAATCTCAACCTCTTACCTTTTCCCCTCTTAAAATTATTTTGTATACCTTAATAAAATGAACACATACATATATGGAATCTCTTTTAAACAAATGTGGCCCTGAATCTCATATTGAACAAAAATAATGAAAATGAATTTAAAAAAAACCTGGCATTGTGCACAATAAACAAGGTAAAGGAAAACATCAATTTATCTCCTTGGTGTAAAAATCACCTGTGACTGGTAGAAGAGAGAATCCAACTAAAATGAAAAAAGTAATGACTGTAAAATCTCAAGGAAGTTTAGGTTGGGATGCAATCCCTACTACGCAGATCTGTGGCCCAACAATGAACTCATATAGAGGCTAACCTTAAACGCAGTTAAAAACAACCATGTTTTCTGGAGCCTACATGAAAAGTGTCTGGCAGGTGAACACTCGGCCTTTATACCCCTGCAGGAAGTCGTGTTCCCCATACAGTACTAAATCTCAGAAGTTTAGTGTTTAAAAATATCTTTCCTCATCCAAAACCAAACAAAATCCCTCCCAAAGTCCCAAACAAAGTCCCAACAACTCACATTACAACATTTCTAGTTCCTCGTACTATGAGAGCATGAGGCGGCAGGCAAACGGAGGCCAAACACACTTTCAGGGAGGCTGCTGGAAGAATGCTGCTTATCAGATCTTTACACTTTGGTTCAAAAACATTAATACCTTTATACCTTGGTTCAAAACCAGCTCCTCACGTAACCCATCAGAATGACATTTTTCCTTTTTAAAGTGTATCTGAAAAAGGCGATCCCCCCTCCAAAATTAACACAAAGTTAAAAGAAATGCAAATGGGCTACGATCTATTCCAAGCACAGCACCGCCAGGAGATCACACACACTATTTGGTGTTTGGTGTTGGTTTTCCTTGCGTTCTTTTAAGGCAGTGGTTTCCACAGGTCAGTTCAGAGATAAGAAGCGTGGTCCATGGCAGTTAGTTTTGCAACTGCAATTGGTTCTCTGGGAATGTCTCACTTCATTCCCTGGAATTAGTGCTTTTTTGGTTCAGAATCCGGAGGCAGAGAGGGAAGCTCGGCTCCCCTGGCACAGGACTGGTTTTCGCTGGCGCCGGTCCACCAGGCCTCGCTCCCACTGTGGAGCAACAATTCACCTCTTCTTTCGTAGGCTTTTACTCGAAAGTCATCAAGTTTGTAGGAACCTAAAAAATACAAGCATTACAAAACATTGTTTATTTATTTATTTATTCAAAATATATTTTATTGATTTTTTACAGAGAGGAAAGGAGAGAGATAGAGAGTTAGAAACATCAATCAGCTGCCTCCTGCACATCTCCTACTGGGGATGTGCCCGCAACCAAGGTACATGCCCCTGACCGGAATCGAACCCGGGACCCTTGAGTCTGCAGGCCGATGCTCTATCCACTGAGCCAAACCGGTCCCGGCACAAAACATTATTTATTTTTATTAAAGTATTTTTCAATTACAATTGATGTCCAATATTTTATTAGTGTCAGGTGTACAACCCTGTGATGAGACATTTTACAACATATGAAGTGATCCCCCGATACTTCTGGTACTCACCTGGCACCATCCAGTTATTAGAATATTACTGGCTATATTCCCTATGAGGTACTTTACATCCCCATGACTACTTTGAAACTACCAATTTGTACTTCTTAATCCCTTCGCTGTTTTCAGCCAGCTCCCTATTCCCCTTCCCCTCTGGCATATGTCAGTCTGTTCTCCCTATCAACGAGTCTGTTTCCATTGTATTTGTTCTTTTGTTTTTTAGATTCCACATATAAGTGAAATCATGGTATCTGTCTTACCCGGTAGGTCCATTCACAAACTGACAGTATTTAAAAGTTGTCCTTCAAAGTACCTTTTTAATCTTTCCTTGTCATTTTAAGTGAGCCCAAATGTTAAAATCTTTCTGACCTAAAATATCTTTTTGAAAAAATTATATTGGGGTGACACTGGTTATTAAACCTATAGAGGTTTCAAGTCTACAATTCTATATACATCATCTGTATATTGCATTGTGTGTTTACCACCCAAAGTGAAATCTTTTTCTGTCACCGTATATGTGACCCCCTTAAACCTTTTAAAGTATCTTTTTTTAAAAGGTTTTTTTATTGATTTTTATATGTGAGCGCGAAACATCGATGTTATGTTTATGTCTGTTCAACCAACTGGTGACTCAACTTTATTTATTAAAGTACATATTATTGATTTCAGAGAGAAGGGAGAGGGAGATAGAAACATCAGTGATGAGTGAGAATCATTGATTGGTTGCCTCCTGCATGACCCCTACTGGGGATCGAACCTGGGACGCTTTAATTCGAAGGCCAACGTACTCTATCAAATCAGCTAGGGCTGTGACTCAACGTTAAACCTGTAATAGGGATTGGGGAAAACAATACAATGAATTTATTCTCCTTGGCAGCTAAAAGCCTTTGTTTCAGTAAAATAAAAACAAAAATATCCAAATGGTTTTGGGTTTCACTGCAACCACAGAAAACCACATCAACCTGTTAGTAGAAATAACGATGAATCAGAATATATTTTATTAATTTGAAGTGCCCCCTCTCTTTAACCCCTCTAGAACTACATTCCCTTGCCTCTCCCTATATTCTACCAGCATACTCTTATTTTGAACAACTGAAGCTCATTGCAGCTTCAGGGTCTTCGCATGGGGCGGTTCCCGTGGCGGTTCCTTCTTATCATCCAGGCCAATGTCATCACTTAGGGGAGACGTTTGCTGCTCTCTCCTATTTATTTAAAGTTGTCTCTACTCCCCGCGCTCTGCATCACATCATTCTATTTTGTTTTCTTGTATAGTTTTCACTATTTGAAAGTTTATTTGTTCATTTCTTTATTGCCCATCTCTCTAGAATGTGCACTACACATCTTGTGGACTGCTGTCAACAAGAAAAAGAATAAGAACAAGAACATATTCCCCCACTCCATTCAGAAAATTAGTCTACTTCTCTTTAGAACTCTTACACACATGCCCAAGTTAGGGACTCTCTGAGCATTAAGAGAAATGCTCACCTGCTGTTTGTTGCTTTGGCAGGCAGCACTCAAATGCTTAAACCACAGCATTGCATTCATCCTATTGCCAGCTTGAAACTTGTATGAATTTCCTAAAATCATAAAAAACAAAGGGAAAATAATAAAAACTTAAGGACTCTGACATATAACAATTCTGCCAGCTACCAAACCAAACTAAAACAAGACTACAGTTCTCCGTTTCAGAAGTCTATTTCTTCAACACCTGATTCTCCAGCACAAACAGTTCTCTCTGATACATTCACATGACGTCACTTATGCAGAAAGTAGCTGTTCTGCTGTCTGTGAACTGGAAGAGACGTAAATGCATTTCCTTAAGTGTCTGTTAGAGTAAATGATACCTAAATAAAATGGTTTGGCTTCTGTAGATTCGTATGTGTGGCTGCGTGTGCAGAGTATCGGTTCTCAATACTGCTTAGATGATCTATTCGCAATGCTAACGTGAGGTTTTCACAGGCCTCCGTGCTTTAACACTAAGTGACTAACACTCAGACGTTAGTATTTAATGTGAATAAGGATTAATTAGCTAACATCAGTAACAGCTACCTTTTTAGTTACATCTGTTAAAAATTATTATAGCTTTCTAGGCCTATTGAGGGCTCTCAGGGAAAATATAAGAAGGCACCCTTTTCTCTTAGAAAATTAGAAATTCATCTGTGTTGTGTATATTTAGTAAACCTTATGTTAACTCTAATTCAAGACTGACACATAATTTTTATACGGTTCTATGTACTAAGGTAATAAACTGAGAAAAGGATGAATTCATGTACTATATAGACTGCCTTAAGTTGAGCGTTACTCCCTTTTTTTCAATTGACCTAAGTTCTTGTTATTTCCCAATTGTTACCAACTTCTACTTTGCATTCAATGGCCCAAGAGCCTAATCTATATTTAGACATTATACAACTTTTCTTTGAGATTTTAACATTCAAAGAGCTTTTTCACTTTCAGAAGCAATGGTTTGCCTTCACCACATATTCAATTATTCCAATTAAAATACTGTTTTGCTTGCTCAACTGAGATGCAGACATCAGATTAATCTAAATAGAAAGCATTTCTACAATGAAGTTTGCCACAATTATTATTTTTTCTGTGTTCAACATGTTGCTTACATTTTTATTTGAAACACTTCATAATACTCTAAAAGCAGACTACCTGTTGATATGAAATACATTCTGAATAAACAGAGGTCAAACTATAATGTACAGCCCATAAAAGGTAACGCTGCGTTTCCTTGCTGGCTTCCTGGGGTGCTTTTCAACAGCCAGAGGTGGTCTGAGGAGGAGCAGCAGTCACGCTGGGACCTGTTCTGACTGCCACCTCAGGTAGGACCAGCTGGCATGTGATTCTACAGCCACCCTCCAACATCTCTATTATATTTTATGAGCAAAGTATTATAATTAAAATTCTACTTCTTTGGAAAGTGCTGTAAGTCAAATAAGCAATTAATTTGATTAAAAGTAATGGAATAAAAATCATTTAAAGGAAAACCTCTGCCACATATAGAACTTAAGAATAACAATTTAATTCCGGGTACAAATGAAGGAGTACTATGTATATGGCAAACCACTGAGATTTTAAAGCAACAGTGAGCCATACATAGATTCTCAAATTCCTTCCCTCCCTCCCTCCCTCCCTCCCTCCCTCCATAAGCTTATTAAATAAGCATTTAATAAATATTGATCTCATTACTATATATTATGTGACAGAAATATTTCTCAAGAGATGAACCTATACAAATCTTCCCCCAGTCAAGTATGAACCCAGTGAAACAGGCTTTGGTTACTATAAAGTTACCTACAAGCCCCGGTGACTCGAAAGCAGTGATGGCGAACCTTTTGAGCTCGGCATGTCAGCATTTTGAAAAACCCTAACTTAACTCTGGTGCCGTGTCACATATAGGAATTTTTGATATTTGCAACCATAGTAAAACAAAGACTTATATTTTTGATATTTATTTTATATATTTAAATGCCATTTAACAGAGAAAAATCAACCAAAAAAATGAGTTCGCGTGTCACCTCTGACACGCGTGTCATAGGTTCGCCATCACCGATCTAGGTTAATGCACATTTGTAATGTCTCTTTTTCAGACCTCTCTGAAAACCACCACCAGGAGCCATCATCACCATCCATCCTACCACAGACACATTCTTATTTGATGTTGATTTGAACTGAGAGGTAGAAAGACAACTAATGGTTATCTTGATGGCTCATCCTCTGCAAAGTTTGTGTGTCAGGGAGAGCATCTTCAGTTTCTCCCAGTGAGAGATGAGACCTGTGACTTCGTGCTGGTCAGGTGTGCTCAGGGCCTCTTACGACTAAATTGGGCCCCTGTGGAGACACTCGCCTGCCTTCCAGATCTTTCTCAGCTTCAACTCTTTGTCAACACCTAATTGTCCCACCGTCCATTCCCAAAGAGCAGGACTGCTAGTGGAACGATAAGGTCATCCATGTTGTTTGATCTGTTACTGTGCTCCCCCCTCTCCCCTTTCTGATAGGAAACACAGCTGCCTTTTAATACAGATGTTATCTTTCCCCCAGTTTATGGAGATATACTTGACTTAAACCATTGTGTAAGTTTAAGATGTACATTGTAATAGGGGTGTTCTCTTAAACTGAGTGCTATCAGACACTTCTGTATCTCTAAATGATTAGACACACATCTGAACAAGAACTATATATATGCAAAAATATTCTTAGCATGTGCTTATTTTTCTAGTTTTTTAAAATATTTTTATTGATTTCAGAGAGGGAGAGGGAGAGAGGGATAGAAACATCAATGATGAGAGAGAATCATTGATCGGCTGCCTCCTGCAGGCCCCCTACTGGGGATCGAGCCCGTAACCCAGGCCTGTGCCCTTGACTGGAATGGAACAAGGACCCTTCAGTCTGCAGGCTGACACTCTATCCACTGAGTCAAACTGGCTAGGGCACTTTCTAGTTTTTTTTTAAAGTTACACTTTAAAGACAAATCCCATTCATGAAAAGGCTGTGAAACAATGCTAACAATTTAGAGAAGAAATACTTACATGTTTTCTTTCTGTAGCTTTTAGAGACTTGGCAGTGTAGTAAAAAAGTTGTGTCCCACACAAAGCTGCCCAATATTTTGTCCAAGATGCTACCTGGAGAGGACAAACACATGAATACACGACGGAAATGCTGCCGACTCCTCAGTGCCATGGTCGTTAGCTCTGCTCCACTTCAGCCCCTTCCATCTAACCTCAGAGCACAACTTCTGAAATCTTTAACTCAAGCACTACATTCACTTCCACTTAATATACTGTACTAGTACTTGCATTCAGATAATTATCCATCCCATCAAGAATCCTATCACTTTTTCATATTGTCTAGTATTGCCATGACCTTCCCATCCCATGTCCCCCTTCCCCTTTCTTCTAGAAAAGGGGGACATGGGTCTGCACTATACCCATTCCCTTCCAAATTCTTTAATCTCACTGCTTGCTCTCCTGACATAACCCCAACCCTAGTTAATCTAACCATCTTTTTTTCCCTAGCAACACTTTCTCATAGATCATCCATCTCACCAGGCCCATACTTCAAATACTACCTATATGCTAATGACTCTCAAATCTCCATCTCTGGCCATCACCTCCTCTACTCAACTTCTGAATTGTACTTTTTACAGAGCCAAACTGACATCTCCACTTGCAGCCCCAGCCTCTCTTTGACTTCATCTCTTCCACCTACTGCCCGCTCAACGCTTCAACTACACAGGTCACCATGTCTCCTGAACTCAAGGTCTTCTCATGGCTAACTCACCTTCCTCACTCAGACCTCGGTTCAAATGCCTCCCGTGGTGACAACTCTCCTGATGCCATCACTGTCCATCCCATCTCCTCACTTTAAGGGCTAGTTCTCCCACTGGAACGCCATCTCCATGAGGCAGGCGCTTGCTCACTGCTCTATTTCTGGCATCTGGCACACGTTAGGTGTGGTAAGGCCTCAGCTGCTATGCTATTCTTTGTTCACTAGCTAGCTGGTCTCGTGTAGCCTCTGGATTATAATGTAAGCAGCAAAAATCAGATTGCTTAGGTGCAAGAAGCCCGCTTCATCTTCAAAAACTTTAAGTGCAGATATACATCAAACTTTATTCCAAACTAGATGTAATGTTATTTGAGAAAAGAAAACAAATCTCTCTTTAATCATCAAACTACTGTGTTGCTGTTGGGGAAAAACTAGTTCTGAGTTACATGTGAAAATCTTTGTTCCACCAAACTTTTTTTTTTTTAAAACATAATTATGGTTTGGAAGACATTTAATATCTGGGGTTATTTCACCTGGAAAACAAACCTGCATTACTGAGTTCAACAACTAAGAACCAACAACAACAACAACAACAACAACAAAAAACTGATTGAATTCCATTTTAGGGTTAACTTTCTTTTCTCTATTTTTCCTGAACTTATTACTAAAATACTTCTGTACAGTATGTACTTTAAGGTTCTCTGAGAAACAGTTTTGAACAAGAACTATATTAGAGGGCAGAGAAGTACAGGCATGCTTTAAACTCCCTACATGTATGATTCAACTGAAATCTAAATTAAGAAACATGGGGGGGCGAGATAGGGGTGGAGGAGGTCAGTGGGGGGGGGTAGAAAAGGGGGACATCTGTAATACTTTAAACAACAAAGATATGTTAAAAACAAACATGGAGAGGCAAATGTGTACCTTAAATCACTTTAAGTGAACTATGTATGTCATTTTATTTCAATTATCTTCATATTTCTTAGGGTCCTGTACATTTATATATTTTTAGAAGTGTTAAAATATGATAAAATCTTACTGTAGGCTTTTTGCCTTCCTTTAACAAAGTTTTTCTCTTGAGAACACCTTGAATAGTAACAGCTCCTGGATATAAATGTACTGCCAAATCTTCTGATTCTGCAGAACTATAATAATGAAACGAAAAAAAAACAAAACAGGTAAGAAAGCTTTTGTGTATAGTAGTTATCAAATAGGTACTTAAATGAAATGTAATTATTCTTTTATTTCAAAACTTTGTTACTTTATTCAGAATGAGAAGACACTGACAATTATAAAGGTTTACTGATCTGAAATTTATAAGCTGTTACAAAAGTTAATCTGGAAGTTATTCAAGTCAGCAGATGGTTAAAAACACACACTTTATTACATATTTGAACAAGTATAATTTAGAAAGAATAGAGTAATTTAATTTAGTAAAGATCAAATAAATTTAAGACATGCTTCTTCTTAACATGCCACACTGCATCACTGCTGTAAATTTCCCCCCCATTAGAAACCTTAAGTCCTGGTAGGAAAGATGAGGGTTCTATTTGTTAAAAGTATTTAAGCATGTAAAACTCAAAAATAATAAAAGCTCAAAAAAAGAAAGAAGAAAAACACACACATTTAATTCCGAATAGTTGAAAGTAGTAAAAAGCAATAGAAACATATGTTTTTAAATTGGATTTCTGCAATCAATTTTAATTACATTTAAATGCTTCGAATGCATAAATATTTGATTATAGCCTAACTCCCAAACCCAAGATTTCCTTTCCATATATCTTAAGAAAACCATTGAAAATAACCAAACATTTATATATGTCTCCCCAACTGAATCAAGTTCCTATATTTAAAACAAGAGTAATTTTCATAGTAAAAATCTGGCATTTTCTGGTGATCTGAGTGGCAGAATTCCTGTAACAGTGATGAAAACTAAAGTTTGCCAATTTATTCCTTTATGATTATTTAGGTGTCTTCAAAGTGACTTAAACGCCAAGAAACCATCAGAAATTTCAGGCTAGAGCTATTTATATTCAGGGAGGTATATAAGAGATTAGACACCATCAAAATGACACAGGTTCACTTGTAAAGTTGGCTATTTTGTTGTGTTATCCATTTGTTGATTACCCATTACCACTAACCTACAGTCCCCGAATCAATGCGCATTACTCTTATTTTCTTCTGCAGCTAATACAGGGCAGAAAGAGGACTCAGTTTAACTAGATGAACAATGGAATGAACATGCATTTAAATACACAAGTATTATTTAATGAGACAGACTAGTCTAAATTCAGCACTTGCAGTTTATTAAAAAAAGTTCTTTCAAAAGGCAAATCTGACTAGCAAAGTAAATTTTTTGATTTTAGCATTTGAATAAGGCTACAAGTGGATTTTTATATTGCTCATCCAATAACTTAACAGTGTTAGAAAGACCTGTGCAGTTAAAAAGTTACCAACTTGGAATTATTTTTAAAATGTGACATAAAGATGCAAGTTTTAGCAATTAACTTTGTGGATCAGAAAGAATAATTCAAATTAATCTCTAGATTAAATCTTGGAAACTTTCCTAGGCATTTTTTTCAGTCTTTGAATCAATTAGTTGAGAAAGAACAGAAATGATGTGAAACCACACCCATGTAAGCCAATCACCAACACCAGAGGGGAGTTCTGTGGCCCCTGAATGCAGGGGAATTGTACCTGCTGGCCTTCATGTGGCTTCGATAGCCATTTCGTGCCACTCGTGTCATCGGGCCGAGAGAATGGTACAATCTGTTCCTGTTGGATTCCATTATAAATTGTATATATTACATATACTTTAATTCACACAAACATCATCAGTACCTAGAACAGCATAATAATTTTTGTGTAATAAAGCTTTCTAAATCTTACAAAAGGTTAGTCTGTGATTGTTTCTGATCCTTTTTAAAAGCATGCAGCATCGATTTAAAAAACTTGTTTCTTTTACTATTGATGCTAGAATTAATATAGCTGCTTAGAAAACATCATACATTTATATATACATTCACTTTCACAAATCCGCTAAAATAATTAAAGAGCAATTTATAACCAGGTACTACCAAAACTGAAAAATACTCCAAAAAATACTTTTGTTTCTATTCTAGTGCTTGGATGCCAGTTTAAATATGACACCTGAATTCATATAAATAATTCATTTTTATTATATGTCCCTATGAAGACACCTAAAAGCAATGTGGCCAGTAAACTTAAAAAATTAATGTTGCCAAAACACCTTATTTTCCTTCCTACCCTTTGTGTTAAATCCAAGAAAACGAATAGAGAGACAAACTGAGTAATAAATAAAGGCATTGTTTTCCTTCCATGTCAATTGAAATAAATGATAAAGCCAGCAAGTGATAACAATGGTATGAATTAATATTTACCCAAAATGGCGTATAATGCTTAACAAAAGAAAATAAACACACACATAGACACCAATACTTCTTTGCCTGGGAAAAGCCAAAAGTTGATAAATGATATTTAAAACAAAAAGCATTATTTTAGCAACTGAAGCAGCAACCTATTTGATGTCTCTCTAGGAAGTGAGAAGAGTAAATGGCATGTTTAACATTCAGAGTACTACTTTTAAGTTCATTATCTATAGGTAGTATTTTAAATCTTAGTTCTTTATTCATTTATTATTATTTCATGTCTGAGTCTTCTGGGCAGCTTCAATTTGCTCTCAAAATGTTTCAAGAGCCACTGATTTAAACTTGGCATGAGTATAGCAGATTTTTTTTTTGCTGCAAATGTCTGCAAAGCAAAACATTTGTCATAAAAAAAGAATTGTTCTGAGATGTGAAGGTAACACCATTAAATACTGTCTTTGAAAATAACCTGCAGGGATGAGAACAAGTTATCCACACCACTCTGGTTATTCACTAATATCTCAAGCAATCTGAGAAACAATTTTCTTCATCAGTATTTTTTATCTAAAGATTACAACACACTCTATAACCAACATGATGGTATTATGCTCTTTCTAGAGGGAAAGAACTAAGACAATTTGTATATATAGCATGTGCTAGAGGCAACTCTTGTGTTTTTCCCATTTCAGGCAAACCCAAATAAAGAGATAGAAAGTAAAAGTTGGAAGAAAAATAATATGCAAAAACAAACTGCTAAGAATCCCCCAAAACAAAAAAAAACAAAACTTGGGAACACTGATAGTGTAGAAAGGCTTAGGAATACTTTAATATATTGAGTTTCCAAGTAAAATCTTAATCATATAATGGTGAGAATTCTTTATAAAGTGTCATCGAGAATGACGTTATAATTTTCCAATTAAACAACAAAATTCAAATGCAGTTTAATTTTAAGTATGTATTTAGTAGAATTGTTTTCTATTAAAAGTCACTGATACGAAGTTAGATAACTAAATATTTCAATTTTATCAATTTTAATATGACATTCAAAATTCAATCTAAATGATACTCTCGCTTAGAAACATAGCTTGCTTAATATATAATAAATTACAATTACTTTAGTCAAGAGTCAAGTGCCGTATAAGTATGAAAATGGCAGGAATGAAATGGTCAGAGACAACATAAAAGCCCTAATGAACATTTAATATATAACATGTATTTGCACTGTTTGGCTACATTTTTAAGGTCATCTTATTTGGAAGTTCAATGTAACATGACGTTTGCTGCAGGTCAGTGACGGCTTTTATAGCTTAAAGCAAAAGGAAAGGAGAATGCATGCATAGTATCTCTATATATAAAAGCCTAAGTGACCCTTACGACCATTGACTGGTTGATCAGTCGCTATGACACACAATGACCACCAGGGGGCAGCTGCTCAACACAGGAGCTGCCCCCCTGGAGATCAGTGTGCTTACATAGCGGGAGTGCCGCTCAGCCAGAAGCTGGACTCATGGCTGGCAAGTGCAGCTGTGGCCACGGGAGCCTTTCCGGCTGCCTGCCGCTTTAGCACTGCTACATCCCTTGGGGGATGTTGGACTGCCGGCTTCACCTGATCCCATAAAAGGCAGTCCAACATCACCTGAGGGATCCGGATTGTGAGACGGCACAGGCCAGGCTGAGGGACCCCATCCGTGCACAAATCTGTGCACCGGGCCTCTAGTTTCAGGATAAAACTGTGTCCTCTGTGCAAACTTAGTGACAATTTAAATTCAAACTTTAAACTGTTTTGCTTACAGTATAATTTAAAATTTACTAAGTCATTTTGCCCTTGACAAAGCAGCAGAGAAGGAAGTTGATCATTCTACTGAATGTCTTAAATTACTTAAATCAACCAGGATTTTAGGAAATAATTTTACTTTTCAACACATAAATAGATACATTGACCATGATTATTTTTTTAAAATTATAATTTTAAATGTGCTGAAATTTATATACTTGTGTTAAGCCATCAAATAAACATGTATTTATTAGGTAAGACTCAATTCCAGACTTAAATATCAACTTCTAATTTTTGCCACCAGCAGGAAGTTCCTTAGAGTTATATAATAAATATTATCTCTTAAATATCATATTGTCATAGGTGAATTATATTATTCATATACTTTCAGACAGACCAAAAAACAAAAACTCAAAGCAGTTCAAACGGACAATTTTCTTACCTTTCAAAAGCAGGCCATGAGGTCTCTTCACTTAGTTCAGAACCATCACTGCTACCTAAAATTACAAGTTATTCTATTTTTTAAACATCAGAATTTCAGTTTGAGTTTTTTAATTTTAAAAATAGTTTCTCTAGCTGTGCTTCACCAACATATTAATTCTTTATTCTAATATTATTGCTGCTAAATTTATTTTACAATATATTAGAATACAGTTGACAAGAAAATAAATTAACATAAAAACATTTTTGCATGTCTACTTATAACTCAAATTCATTCTGTTAGTAAACAAATTTCTTGTATGATCAGAGAATGCATATAAGTACAACATTTTTCCTTACTAGGTCTGTCATAAGACCAATATAATTATGAAATTCTTAGAGGTCCATGGCATTACTTTGAACCGGCGACCTCTTGGTGCATGGGACAATGCTCAACCAACTGTGCCCCACAAGCCAGGGCACCATCACAAATTATTAACTTCAATATTACTAATAAGATGAGCCTATGTCTAATAGCTACTTTGCTTTACTCAAATTTTCTGTACAGTAGGTCCTTGGGTTATGTCAGAAATCCGTTCCTACAGTGCAATGTAACGCGATTTTCGCTGTAAGTTGGAACCCACCTACATAAGCACCTACGTCACTCACATGGAGCACATACCCAGCAGGGATGAAGTGAAACAGTAAAAAAAATGGAAAATATAACAATTCCTGACCTTCACTTGTGGTAAATAAATAATAAAAACATAAAGCACTTATGTACATACGTCAAAATGACGGAACTTTTTTTTTAAAAAAAAATAAATGGGAGATGGCGACATAACCACGAAACGACGTACGTTGAGTCCAATGTAACCCGAGAACTGTCTGTACTTGTAGTAGGGATAATGATATTTTTCCAGCTGAATTTTGTTAAACACCACATTTTAAATAAGTTGGAACCCTCCAGAGAAATATTTCTCACCTATTGATATTCCACTAGACAGAGTTGAACTTTCAGCTTGACCTCGAGATGGTGCGTGGGGCTCCATGACGCTATCATCTAAGAGATGCGTTGGCCCTGCATTTGGGAATGTTGCACTCTTAAACTCTGCTGTGTTCATTTTATGAATGAAACTGGAAAGAAAGAAAAATATTTCATTACTGTTACTATTTCAGGATATAAAAGATACTCCTTATAAAGATCCAGGAAATACTAGTAAAAGATTTATCCACTATCCTGAACTTCTGAACTCTCATACTAATGAACACACAGATTTTATTTAGCATGAAGGTCTCAAACTAAGAGTGTAGGTAAAGTATTTTAGGAAACAAGGCCATATCTACTGATGTAATAGAGAATGCTTTAAGTCTCCAGTCTATTAAAAAATTGTTTTCATACTCACTTTTGAAAAATAGGTATTATATTTTCACAAAAATCATGGCAAAGGTGAGCCATAGGCCCTGTTTTGAAAAAAAAAAAAAAAAGATCTTGCAAAGCTTAAGAAATTAAATATAAAATCATTTCCCACTGTTTATATTTAGGAATAGAATGAGTAATTTATATAAACCTTAATTTATGGTGACAAGCATTAATTGTCTTGATAAAAAAAAAGGTTATAATTTAAAAGTAAAATAGTATATTGCTTTCCTGATTTCATTTATGATGATGCTCTCTGATACTCATTTATCTCCCTAAAATGTGAAGGCACTGTTGGGGAAAAACTCATTTCCAAATTAAGGTAAAGGAAGAAATAAATGATTTTAGGCAAACAAGATATTTTCCTGTATACTGTATACTATAGTATACAAAAAATTATGAGGACACTATTTTCTGTTTAATAAAATAAACAGAAAATAAATCAACTGAAAATGATTTGAAAATTAGAAAGAGAAAATGAAAAATGCTGACTTATAACCCAGGCTATGGCACTTCCTGTGTCCATGTGGAATCAGGTTCCGAGGGGATGGCAGTGTGTGAGGTAACAAGGCTCCTTCCGCTGCCACACTTCTTCCACTTTGTGGAGATCCCAGTTCAGGACCTAAGGGGTCAATTTAAAAAAAGGCGGGGGGGGGGGGGAAGAGAGAAATTTTCAAGATTGTCCTCCTATTTTAATCCCTTCATATAAAAAGTGGTTTAACTTTTAAGATGTTAATTCCACTTAATTAACTGAAGATGAGAAATAGTTCTTCTGTACGTCTTAAAACACAAAATCCCAAAGCACACAAAATCTACTGATTCCTGTCTCTCTGATGTGCACTAAGTAGGCGGGATAACTATTTCCCCCGTTACAGAGGCAGAAGCAGAATGGACAGAGTTGGGCTCAGGGTCTCCCACCGCAGGTGACAGACACCTGGACTGAGCACTCAGTCTCCCCGCTCTGGTTCACAGCTCTATTTTTTAGTTTACAGGCAGCTTCTTTTTAGGTAAGATAAAAAACACAACTCCAAAGTACACAGATTTGCAAAATATCACTGTAAGAAAAGCAAACGTAAGAGATTTGGATAGAAATGTTTTCCTTGGCTAGGAATACTCTCCCCACAAAACACAGTCCATCCATGGCTTGTTCTCTCGCTTCCTTCATACATTATTAGATGGCTCTTCAAATGTTTTTTAGAACACAGAGTAATATGAAGCTTATTACCAAGGTCTGTGATTGAAATTTTAAAAAAGGCACTTGTCAATTATTTACTAAATAATAAGTAGTCTTCAATTTTATATTTTTTAATATGTGTGGTATATATGTAATACCCTCATTATAATGCAACAGGTAAATTAAGGACTATGACTATATTTTAAAATAATTCAGTACTTGACCCAGTATTAAAGTAAAACTTAAAAAAATTAACTCACTAAAATTGACTTAATTATTCGAAATAGAATTTTCCATTTGACCACAGAAATTTCTAATGTAATCAATACTCATAGTCTAGCACAGTGTATTCTTAAAAAAATAAAATAGACATTCATAAACATTTATCTGTTATTTTCTGTCTGTGGTATCTATTTTCCTTGATTAGTCAGAATATCTTTTTTCCCCCTTTTTAAATTAAATTTATTGGGGTAACATTGGTTAATATGACAGAATATCTTTTTTTTACATTATTGACAAACTACAAGTAACAATTTTTTAAATTAAAAACCAAAAAAGCCCAAGCAGAAAAAAACATGTATTTTAATACTAAAAGTAAATGTTGCATGCAGTATAAAATGTGCTAAGTATTTACTTACTTTGCAGCATTTCCCTTCCCATTAGGTTACCCAATTTATTATGGTAACAAGAGAAAATGCACTAACCTACTAAGTCTTCCCTAGAAGCAGCAGAGCGTGGTGTGCTTGTCCCTGGTTCTATCTTTAATGAAAGCCTGAATTCCAAAAAGAAACAAAACACATAAAATGACCAACATTTGACAAGCTAATATTAACATCATGTATTTTCCCACAAATGAACTAAAAACATTTTAATAAAAGAGTCTCAGCTACATATTTTTCTTTGAACACAAACTTGAATAGTTAAGTCTCCTATCTCTTTCACACTAAGCTGATCTTATGGTTATTCTAGGAAATATTAGAAAAGGGCATAAACATTAAAAAGTCACATTTAAAAAAAGAAAAATCTCCCAAAACTACCCCAACGCTGTCAAACAATTCATCACTTTTAAAGATATTTGATGAATGACTAAAAGGTGATTTACACTGGAAGTTATATTGATAACTGATACTTAATTCAGGAACTTTCACATATATTATTAAATATATTATGCAAATTCTTCCTACAATCTTTACTAGAAGGGCTAATGGCTTCTGTAGCACTGAAAGTTTAAAAAACACCTTATTTAAAACTCACCATACAAAAAACTAACCAACTCATCAAAAGACAGGTCTGTACAAATAAAAAGGGTTGCTTGCAAAATTCCTGATAAATCCCTGCTCTAAGTCACAGTTTATTAGTTGGTACTTAACTTCCATATAGGATCACAGGCATAGTTTTGAATTCCACAGCAAAAAGAGATTATGATTCCTATCAATGGAAACTATTTCATGAAATAGGATACTAAAGCCATTGTGGAAAATTCTTTGGTATAGTCCACAAAGCCTATTAGATGCATTTGTCTGAAAATTAATGAAGCCATTTTATTTTTAGCATTCTGTCAACTGGATTTATGAAATTACATAATACAAGTGACATTCATAATGATAAATCTATTATAGGTCATTAACTTATCACTTCTTTGGTAACCTAAGAGGGGATTACATATACATATATTCCAATCATTGGACAGTATTAGATGCATGTGCTGAATATGATTAACTAGAACTCTCTGCTTTTTCTTTTTACAGAGCAGTTTAATCACTTGGGCTGCAGACTACACTGAACTCATTCATTTAATAGTTATTGAGCATCTGCTTTGTGTTGGGCACTTTGGTCTCATGGACTATAATAGGAGACGAAGGCAGACATGGTGGCCCTGCCCTCCTGAAGATCATAGTCTAGTAGGTGTAAGACAAAGAAGTAAACAAAATAACTACATTTCCTGACACAGAAGCAAAACAGAAGAAACAGCAAGGAAGCTATGGGTGAATCACAGGGCTGTCAGCAGCAGCAGCACATCACGGGCAGCAGCACAGAAGTGGAGCATCATGAAAGTGCAGCAGTGAAGGCTGGCCAGTGTCAGTGCCTTTATCATCATCAAAACACCGTGAGATAACAGTGATGCTGCGTCGATTGAAAAGATGTATCATCATCAAACACTACGTAAGAGCAGTGATGCTGAGTCAATGAACAAAATTATGTTCAGTATTAAAATGAAAGAACTTCTATAGAATTCCATCCTGATTAAATCCTATGCCTGTAATTTGTAATATCCACACTGACTGCCTATATAGATGAAGGTGCCCAAAACAGAGGCATTTGGATAAATGAAATGTCATTTTTATTTAAATCTCTTTCATCAGAAAGACACTTTTCCCCTAATTACTTTAATGGCTCCTATCTTAAAATGCTCTGATTTTCAACACATTTAATTAGTAGGCTCACGCAACATAACTGCAGCTTTAGAAAAACAATCTATCTTCTTCAGTGTCCCATCTGATGCCCCACCGCCACCAAGTGGGTTGGAGTCCTGCAGCAAACCCAATGTTTGATCATTCCCTCCCCTGGAACACCTTTCCTTACCCTTCAACACGGAGCTAATTCCTACTCGGATTCAGCCTCAGGTGACACTGTCTCCTGAAGCTGTTCAGGTTTCTCTTCACTTTTCCCACGTAAAGCTGAGTCGGGTCCTCCCTTATCTATGCTCCCATAACATACTGGGTATGTCTCGATTGTAGTACTGTGTGAACTGTTTTGTAACCATCTGTTTTGTGGATGTGTTTTGCATTAGATTGCGCCGCTTAAGCATTTTTCAGAAATTTTAGCCTTTTACTGGTATTAATTGTATTCTGCAAAATTCTTTAAAAATTATTGAAGTTATGGAACAAGGAAGCTGATCATCACTATCATATGAGATAAAAACATTTTTATATAATGCGTTAATACTGAAAAGTAACCTACTCTTTCAATGTGATAAAATTTTAAAGACTTTGATTGGAAAAAATATTGGTGGAAGACACACCAAGTTAAATTTTAAACTTAGGAACAACTGGCATAATAAAGCTGGACACAAAATATATTTTTTTAAATTAACAAATGAAGCAAAAAATCATACACAGAATCCTAAAGGGAAATAAGTTCTTTACTCTCTCATGTTTAGAAAAAAGCTGGCAGCTGTGATGTATAGCATACCGCTGAAAAATACAAAAGGTTAATTCCAAATTCCCTCCCACCTTGGTCAGTACTGTGGATGGTAATGAGAGGGAAATGAACACTATTTTAATAATGATTTTTAAAATCTTTAATAAAGGACTTGCTCTAATAAAGAAAAGGGTAAGTGTGGTGCTATATACAACTATATATCCAACCCAAAGGCAAGAAGGTTCAATATTCTCTCAAATCACAAAAACTATTCCAAGGAAGTTCAAAGATGCGTCAAAAATCATCATTAAAAAAGGAGTAACTTTTCTACTTGTAGACAGTTTCATTAATTTTTCAGTCTATTAAGAGATAAATTTCCATAAAGATTCAATGCTTGAATATGTAACGGAAGACATTTAAACTAGAATTATCAAACATAACTATTAACAATCTGAGAAAGATGAAATAGTTTTTAATAAAAGGATAAATGAGCCCTGGCCAGTGTGGCTCAGCTGGTTGGACATCGACCCATGCACTGAAGGTTGCAGGTTCGATCTCCAGTTAGGGGGTGTGCAGGAGGCAGCCAATTGATGTTTCATTGTCACATTGATGTTTCTTTCTCTCTCTCTCTCTAAAAATCAATTAAAAATCTTAAAAAACACACAGATGAAATATTTGTACACTGACTCAATCATGTCAAGTGATTAAAGAGAAATACATGTAAATACCTTTACCACTGCAAATATATGGCTGGATTAGGCATTTGCGTGATATGATGGAAGACTTAGATGTTTAAATACATTGGGATGAGTGGGGATATGACAGTTATACAAACCATTTTTGAAGATCCAACCTACTTGTAATTATCATCTTCCACAAACTTTTGTAGTTCTTCTATATACTGAACAGAGTTCAGATATTTTTGGACGTGAGGCAACATGGGAATATCTAGGCAAAATGTAGTAAGTAATTAAACATCTGATAAAGGACATCTCAAGCACAGTTTTAAAAATTAAGCTGAGAAAATGATATTTAAAGGTGAATTAAGGCCACCTGGCTCCAAATTTAAATTAATTTTAGAAGGACATTACTGAGAAAAATTTTATTTAAAATAAGAATGACAGTTGTATAGATAAAAGAAACCTCCACAAAACCCAAATAGCCCCATTTACAAAGTCCATCATATTTGAGAAATTTCTTAGGAAAAAAAAAAATCAGACGTCATTGTGACTTATCTTAAAATCTCATCTAAAGGCAAGATGTAAGGCAGTTTTGTTTTCTTTTAAGGAAGCCTGGCTCCCATTTGTAAATGTAGTTTTTCCTCCCCTACTTAGAAATCTCAAACATTAATTTAACATAATTTGGTATGTTTAAAAAAAATGAGAAAAGGACAACAGATAGTTTGATTTAACTTTCAGTAAGATTCACCCCCCACCCCAACTTGTAAAAAGTTTTTGAGGTTTTCTTAAAAGTTTAGACATAGTAAAGTTAGCTTTAAGACAAATTTATTTTAAAGTAATTAACAGTGTAAACTCACTGTTTTATAATACCGTAAAAATTATGTCAGTAGCCTATATTTAATTAATTCCCTATCAAATTAAAAGAATTCCAACATTTTTAAAATATTAAAAAACACACACAACCTTTTCTAATCATCTGGGCTTGTGTAAGCTGTTTCTATACATGTGCTTCCACAAAGTAGAACTTGGAAAAAAATTATTTACTCAATATCAGACTCAAGAAAAGTGAATAAAACTGTTACCAAGGTCAAGGGTCTTAGCTCCTTCCCTAACTGACAAATATAAGAACTGTTTCCATAATAGATCAGGGAGATTAAATGGGATGAATAGAAAATAATTTTGTCAATTATGGTAGCAAAGTTGTTACAAAATAGCAAAAGAGCAAAGAAAAAACTTAAAAATTTTAACTATGAAATACTTTAATATCTTAAAAGCGAGATCTTAAACTGGATGCTAAATATTAAACGTGAAATAAAACAGTCGCTGTCATCCTTTGTGTTAAGACGTTCCCTGCTATGTGAAAAGTGGCCTTCATTGTGTGTAACTGAATTAGCAGAATCACAATATAATGGCTTAGTATAGTCCTTCAGAAACTTACCATATTCACAAGACTGCTGTAAATCAGATATTATTCGAAGGATGTTATTCATCAAATTTGATCTCTGCTCACTTTCTAGAATGCTGCCAGTTGACGGGTATGCTGAATCAATGTAAGTTAAGTCTGACAAATAGATACCTGGAATGAAATTAGATAAATGAGGGTTTTCCTACTTGTAGTTTGGAAGAGTATGGCAAAGTGAAGGGGGAAAAAGCTAGCTTATAGATGTATTTCAGTATATGCCATATTTAGAATGTAGCATTATGAATATAGTGCAGGCTTGTAAAAACACGGCCACTGAGGCCTACATTTCCATGGCATTGGGGCCAAACTTGGAAATACAGGGTGGGACAAAATCAGGTTCACAGCTGTTCAAATGGAAAATAATACAATAATTAATGAATAATAATACAAGAATAAACTCTGTGTTTCACATACTCACAACTATAAACCTACTTTTGCTCCAACTTTTTTTTTTTTTTTTGGTAGAAGTCTTCTTCTGATACTACCTTAAAGTATGGCTTTAAAAAAATTCTCACCCAAGGACATGCTGAGAGAGAGAGAGAGAGAGAGAGAGAGAGAGAGAGAGAGAGCGCGCGCGCTGGCTCTTGAGCAATATCAATCAGTGGTCTTCCGCATGTGCCCTAAATGGGGCTCCAACCCCAAATTCAGGTATGTGCCCTAATTGGGAATAGAACCAGCAACCTTTTGGTGCATGGGATGATGCTGCAACCAACCAATCGAGCCACCTGGGCAGGGATCATTGCTTTGGTTTTTAAAGCTGTACCAATTCATACTTCCACTGACAGTATGTAAGTTTCTACTGATCTACACTTGATATTATCAGCCCCTTAATTTTTGCCAATCTTGTGAGTGTAAAATATCACTGTTTTAATTTTCATTTCCTTGATTAATGATATTAAATGTTTATATTTCTATGAAATGTCTTTTGTCCATTTTCCCCCTCTGGGTTGTCTTTTTCTTACTGATTTCTAAGTTCTTAATATACTGTAGAAATGAACCCCCTTGGCAGTTAAATTTTATCCAGTTACTCTTCAACCTACAATCTAATCTGAAGTCAGTATTTATATCTCACTGCTGGAACTTATTCTGGTAAAGGGATAAATGGCCTCCTCATTATTAGATCTTTAAACATTTCGGTCTCTTCCTGTCTCTCTGTAGTCTTTTTACTATTCCCTTTGTTCCTTGGTCTTAACTGGCTACAACCTTCCTACTCTCCTCTGTTCTTGTTTTTTTTCCTCATGATCCCTGGAATTTGGTATTCCTCATGGTTCTTTCATTAATCTTCCTACTTTACAGGTACTTTTTCTAGATTATTTTACTTCTGCAGCTTCAACTACCACATACTTGCCAATGACTTCCCAAATCTCTCTGTAGACCTGATCTCCTGACTTATTTTCCAGCCAAACTAACTGTTATTTGTTCCTAAACATTTGCCATTCCAATTTCCTGCTGTGCTTAGTGATATTACTAATTGCTAAAGTTTGAAAGCTCAACTCACTCTAGTGAAAAAACAACTCAGGAGGAATTTACTACTCATATTTTCCCAGATTAAACGACTAGTGAATAAAACATGATCGCTGAATGCTCATGCAATGTGTTACATAATATAAATCAGAGGCCAGAAGCTGGCAGTCAATCTGTCCCAGTGTTTGTAAAATCAGAAAGTATCACAGGAAATACCTCAAAACTTTCTTTTCCTAAAAAATGGGGAGATCTGCAATAATGAGGTACAGCAGAAAAGGGTGCAGACTCCACAACTATAATAATATCAGTTTGTCATAATCCTCATTTTCCTGTTATGGTCTGACTTACTTCACTTATTACATCACCTACTTCATTCTTGCTCTTTTTTAAAAAATTGATTTTTAGAGAGAGGAAGGGAACGAGAGAGGGGGAGAGGGAGAGAGACACACATTGATCGGTTGCCTCCCATACATGCCCTAACTGGGATCGAACCTGCAATCTGGGTATGTGCCCTGACTGGGAATCGAACCACTACCTTTTGGTGCACAGGACAATGCTCCCACCAACCAAGGCACACACCAGTTAGGGCTCTGCTGCCTTCTTGTGGTGAGCATTTGTCTTTATAGGCCCTTGAGTTTGCAACCCTTGGTATCTATGTATGTCACAGGAATTTAAAGAAACAATTCTGCAAAAGAGCCAGAAACTAAGCTGATTTTAAATAAGGATATATGGATCAACAGTTGATGGTAGAATATCAGAAAGATAAAGTACAAGCTACATCAGTGATGGTGAACCTATGACACGCGTGTCAGAGGTGACACGCGAACTCGTTTTTTGGTTGATTTTTCTTTGTTAAATGGCATTTAAATATGTAAAATAAATATCAAAAATGTAAGTCTTTGTTTTACTATGGTTGGAAATATCAAAAAATTTCTATATGTGACATGGCACCAAATTTAAGTTAGGGTTTTTCAAAATGCTGACACGCTGAGCTCAAAAGGTTTGCCATCACTGAGCTACATTAACAACGAGGGGAAAGCACATGGTATGTACAGAAGAGGGAGCCCAAAGGTATTACCTAGCAGCAGCAACCAGCAATTATATACTCCAGTGAGAGTGTGGCATAATGCTCTGGAGTTAAGAGTTTAATCCCCTAGTCTACCACTTAGTGCTGAAGTACTAAGCCAAGTCAATTAAGATGCCTAAATTTGTGTTTCCCCAGCTACTGAGTTATTGAATCACATTTCCTGATTTAATGAAATATATTAGCATAGTTATAGTGCTCAACAACTAGTAATTCTCTCTCCAGCACCCTAATTTCATAGCAGAAGCACTGGGCCAGAGGTAGGTAAAAGTGACTTGTCCAAGTTTACAGTGTGAGTGTGTGTGTGTGTGTGTGTGTGTGTGTTTGTGTACCAACGCCCCACAGGCCAGAGTTATGTTTGCATTTATATCATATCAGCCATAAGAATAACCTTATTCAGACAAGAGGCGCCATGTTGTAGAACAGAAGGAAGTGACATATAGCATCAGAGTTTAGGTTTAAAAAATGTTAAATTTCTGAAATAATTTTCTACATAGATTTCCACTTATTTTTGGTAATGATAAGCATATTACAACATTAGCTTTCTTATAAAATTTAAAATCTTCAAAAATGGAAACTCAGTGAAATGTTTAAAACTTCTAGGCTATAAAAAGCATTACATTCTTTAGGTGGCTGCCTCCTGACCCAGTGCAACTAGTTCTTTGTAACAAAAGACAAACTCATTAGCCTGCAGCTACTTCTAAGTGAGGTTGAGTACTGTGTTTTTTCAGTATTTAACTTAAAGGATCTCTGGCCAGCAGACTACAATGTTTGTTTTATAATTGCCGCTGAACTAGGATAGTTTGTTTCCAGATGGTGCCCTTCCTTCAACCTGCACAGTCTCTCCTTGTTCCGAGCTATTCAACTCCCGCTGATCCCACTCCCCGCACTCCTATTTTAAGGCCACAGAGAGGAAATCCTAGGGAGGACTCCCCCACGCCCCCAGTCTCCAGCAATTTTTTGGTGACGTAAGATGTGGGCTGAACCCGAGTCTACTGAGAAAGAGGGAATCACTATTCAAGGGCACTGTATATACAGTCTGGGTCAGCTGCAGCTGGTTACAGCGTTTCTCCATGTGGCAGACGGAGCAAAGCCACAACGCTTTCTCTGCTGGATTAAAGGCAGCCCACAGACCAGAACTTCCACTCCACTACTTAAGATTACATAGGTGGCTTGTCAAATTCGATTGATTAGTGTTGTAAGAAGAAAAAGAAGTTCCTTATTACAGCCTGGATTCAACGGCCCAAAACAAAGATGCAGTTGCCATTAAAGTCACAGATGAACAAACTCCTACGCTGATTTTTAAAAGCAAGAATAAGAGCGGCAAGTTTCTGGCTTTGCTTTATCAACAGATGCAAAAGGTATTTCAATGCTTTTATTTTTACTTAAAAATTCTAATGTATGTCAAAATGCATAATTATTTTACATCTGTCATAGAAATTTCAAAATCTCTTATTAAACAAAGAATTTTGGAATACACTAAAATTTATTTAATCTGGAAAAGTTTTTGTTTTTCAACTTTATGTAAAACCTGGTCATTACATACTTTATGATTAATGTGTTATTTTTTAATTTAATGATCTTTAGTGACATGCTTATAATGTATATATGCTGGGTTTCAGAAAACAAGTGCTATAGTGACACTCGATCGAAACTTTAACGTGAAGATTTATGTGTAAGGTTTATAGGTTTGGCATAGTGATGAAAAACAAAGGAATACAAACTTAAAGAAAAGTTATACACATTAGTCTTCACATATCTACAGGGTGTGAAGATTTATATACCATTAAATATCTTAAACTACAGCTAAAAAACACAGAAGATATAAAATTAACTGAAAGTCTTTGCAACACACCTCAATTATGGTATAACTAAATGTCAGTAAAAATTCTTGTAATGATCTAAGACAGGTCTATGATATTTCTTGTTAAAACTCAAAATTTTAAATATCTTTCCAGTTTTACATGTAACAGTAATTTAACTTGGGTAACAGAAATAAAAACTATTATAACTAAATTAATTAAAAAAGCAAAGTTATTGATACATAACCCCCCTAAAACCTTATAGATTAGGATTGGTGAGAAAAAGAAAATGCGATATAAGTATTATGTAAGTCAGCATTAACAACAGAAAGTAAAACCCCAAAGATACAGTTACTTAAATACATGGTTAAAAGATAGAAAATATATGAATGTTATATAGAAATAATTTTGGTAACCATAAGCAAGAGTGTTCCTTCAATATTTCATCTGGGGGCTTTAATTGTATTGTGAGAATTATTAACAATAAATGCCTGGTTACTAATTAGTAAGCTTTAACACCAAAAATACTTGTTTGTTATGATTTGGGGATCCTCTGTCCTTTTAAACATTCAAGATACTAACTGTATCTTCAATAAGCAAATAACAGTAAAGCTAAGATTTCCCCAACTTTCATGTCCTTTCCTTAAACATTCTTAACTCTAAACACTGGGAAGATCTCTGTGAAATGTGTTTCACAAGAGATTCTGATAAAATTCCCAAGCAATACTGGATCTGAAATACTTGCCATCTTTTCATTGTTTGCT